CGGTACCGTCCAGGACGCCAGCAAAGATCAATACGATCAGCTGAGCAGGGACGTGCAGAAATTTGTCTTAGACGAAGAAACAGGTAGCACACTCGCCTATTGCTTTAACAGGTACGTGCCGATCATACGCGACGCTTTGTTGCCGGACAACAAGAAGCGCGATCTGATCCTCATGAAGCCGGATGAGGATGCATATTGGAAGTATGCAGATGGGGTCCTACCTATGCAAGCACACGAAGTGGATTTCGACACAGCGGTCGCGAATCTCCAGAAGCTATTTGCCTTGAAGAAGACTTTGATAAGAAGAAGATACGAGTGCCTTAGGGTCACTTGTCCGCCGCTGACACCAACGTACATGCCGTTTCGAGACTACGCTAACACAACCAAGCAAATAGACGAGGACGCGCTCGACTACCAATGAAGACATCACAATTTGTAGCGGGTCTTCAGGATCCCACACTGGGGAAGTGCGCCTTAGGATGATTCGCCATTTAGACTCACATGCGGATGAACTCTGACAATCCAAGATCTGGTTAACGAATGTGAGAATCTTACCGCGTTGAAATTAGACAACACGGACATGGAAGGAACACACGACATCCATGCTGTGTGGAAGATAAAGGTAAAATGTTTCAATTGTGGAGGTCCACACTTCAAAAACACTCACTCTCCGCCTCCGCTAGTCAGAAGAAGCGACGCAGAACCAGAAGACAGTGCAAAAACGTTGTCGCGTTTGACGTCGAGAATGCAAGGACCTATCTTGACGCCGTTATCAATGGATGTTCGTTGGCTTCCACTCGGACACAGGCGCTGATATAACTTTAATATCACGCCGAATTTGGAAAAGAATTGGATCGCCTACCCTGGAACCTTGCGTCATACCCGTGAAAACGGCAGACGGAACGCCGATGGAGGTCGATGGTAAATTTTCCACCGACTTTGCCGTTAGAGATCGTGCTACAGAAAAGAAGATCCAAGGAAATGGAACATGCTACGTCACTGAAGGCACGAATCTATTAGGAGTTAGAGTAGTGCATCCAGTTGCCGGCCTACAAAGAGTCAAAAACAAGTGCTGCTGTCGCAAGGCGACTCGAGAAGAAGAGTTTCGAGAGGAAGTCGTCGCAGCAAGAAGCAGTACGCAGGAGTCTTCAAGTGCGGACTGGGAAAATGCACGAAGAGCAAAGCAAAGCTATTCTTGAAAGACCATGCTGTTCCAGTCTTCAAGAAAAAGCGACCACTTTCATACGCAACCGCACCGAAACTGGGGGCAGAAATCGATAGGTTGGTTGCCGAAGGAGTGATTTCTGTAGTAGAAAACTCAGAATGGGCCGCGCCAGTAGTAGTCATCAAGAAGAAAAACGGAAAGATTCGTTTATGTGCGGACTTCTTGACAGGACTAAACGATGCATTGCAGCTGCATCAACACCTTTTGCCCACTGCTGAGGATGTGTTCACGAAGCTTAACGAAGAGCAGCTCTTCATGCAGATTGATCTGGCAGAAGCATACCTGCAGGTAGAAGGAGAAGAAGCATCAAAGGTGATGCTGACAATCAATCGCCTACCTTTCGGAGTCAAATCGGCAGCAGGTATTTTCCAGCAGAACATGGATTCTATGATAAGTGGATAGGAAGGCGTAGCTGCATACTTTGATGATATTATCGTTACTGGGGAAACTTACGAGCAACATCGCAGAAATTTGGATACATTGCTCAAAAGGATCAAAAGGATCAAGGAATACGGCTTTCATGTCCAGCTGGAGAAATGTAACTCTTTGATGTCAGAGATTTATTATTTAGGTTGCATCATAGACAAGAATGAACACCACCCAGTCCCACAGAAGAATAAGGTTATTCGTCAGATGTTAGCACCGAAGAACATAACAGATGTTCGCTCATTCCTAGGCCTGATCAACTATTATGGTTCATTCGTAGCCGAGATGCACCAATTGTGAGCACCATTGGACGCATTACTCAAGAAGAATATTCCCTTCAGATGGACAAAAGAATGTGAAAAGGCATTTAAACGGGCCAAGGAAGTTCTCGCTTCGGATCTGCCT